AATTGCTGTCGTTTCGTTGACTACCAACCATCATCGGACTTCCCACACCTATATCTACCCTACTGCTATGTCTTATCTTCCTAGGCATTTTTTTTCTCTTACAAACTTTTTTTAAAATGGAGGCCCGTCGAACTCTGACTCCATTTTCACTGTATGAGTTTCTTTAAGTGCCAGAAAATTCAAGTTTTTAGGTTCACAATTAACTGCAAAATATTGCTTAATGCTGCCCCAAAAGGACAATTTCCGCTGACATTATTACGCATTTCTACGTCTATTTGCGCACAGTGTCAAATTCGTTTTTGAAATTTAATTTTTTCGAAACAACTTTTGTCTGGATAATGCCGTTCCGGCGCTAACAAATATAAATTCTAAAAAAACATAAGAAAGCTCGTGAAATTCGGAGGGACTCAGTAGATGCGGTATGTCGATTACAGAAGAGAAGGACAGAGTCATGTCCGTCACCGCCACGATACGAGTATGTCTATGGGAAACCTGGGCTCTCCGAAGCCATGCGCGGCTAACCCCTTAGGATTAGGCAAAGAGCAGGCCGCTTCGGTGTCAACGAGGAATTTCATCCGCTTCTCTGCAACCACTGCATCAAACATAGAGGTAGGAAAATCAGAATTAGATATCACAGTCGGCACAGGGAGGTACACAGTCGCTATTTAGGCTGCACGAGTCTAACGTCCCCGGAGCGGCTGCGTAAAATTTTGAAAGGTTTGGGTCGCCACCGAGCAAGTCTCCTTTCACTGAACGACCGATGCAGAGAAAAAAAGGAGTAGTTAGCGAGAGGCGAAATTGCTCCTCGTACTGTTGAACAAAAATCAAAAGATCCTCTGACGGGATCTTGGGTTTCTTGGTGAGTTTGTGACAGAAGTTGTCGTCGAGTGCACCAGCGCGGAACTGTGCGGCGAGAACCCCATCAGTAAGGTCAGATGGCCAGCCGGGGAAGGCCGCGAGATATAAAAGTCGAAGGCGACCCAAGTCGTCGCGGGTACTCTTACCGGGAAGCTGCCATCAAGAGCTGCGCTGTTTGTAAGCAGTAACCGGGGGCTTTGGAGTCACGAAGACGCGGCAGAGAGTCGACATCTGCTTCTAACTGCACGCCAAACGAGGAAGCTCTCGTAAATGCTTCAGTTAAAGAATGGTGACACATCTGTCGTGTACGGTAGTTCGAAGCAGTTGAGGTCAAATGTACATTGGCTAGAGAAAGCCAGATTTTTAGTGTGCAATCAAGCAAACACACAGTCTAGGTTAGAAGTCCTTGTGTGAAACAGGAACTTTATGGAGTTTCGAAAGGAAAAAGAGCGTAGCACCAAGGGTGCGGGCATAAAGCAAACATCAGAATAGAGGGGCAGTGGAAAAACCAACCGCTCACGCCTCAGTCAACACCGGAAATGAGGCTGCCGTCTAATCAGGGACTGTCCCCGAAAACTTCGTCTTGGATTGGCTCTTCGGTCTCCACGAGGGCAGTCTGATAGGGAGATGGTTAGTGCAGGAAGGGAATGTGAACTATTAATTTACAGTACAGTATAAGAACCATGCGTGTTTTTAACTAAATTCCAACGGAGTACGTTGCTCATTCGCGCGCAACTAATGGCCTACGAAAACAAATCATAAAAGAATTTATTGATCAAAATATGTCCAGAATCTTCGACACCTGCACAAGGTCGAGTCGTTTCTGCATATACTTCATATGCTTTACCAATTTTTAACATTAACAATGAACCAATACGCGCATATATCTATTATTGCGTTAAACATGCTCACCACATAAATAAATCAATTGTTTGTTCAAGGCCCAAGGGGCCCTTTCATTACAAACTTAGTGCTGTGGGATAAACAAAACACAAAGCTGCGCGCAAGCAATTGTATAGCAACAGGAATGTGCAGTATTAGTATCAGTATCTGCTACTGCTCTTTGACTATGTCTCTAATGACGAATCCGCGACGAATCTCGAAACGTCAGGCGATAAAATTATTGTCCCAGCGATCGAGTCGTCTTCTTCACAATGAGCAGTATGTTATACATAATAAGTCAGATCAGATTTGCAACGGACCCTTTTTTTAATCACAGTCAACAATATTAGGTAAATATGGGGAACTGAGAAAGAGACGGTGAAAAACTCTATCTGAAATCTGAAACTGAGTTCCATAAAATATAGAAGAAAAAACCTGCCTTGATATGTAGTTAGCTTGATAGGGTATTACATGATGCGGTGAGATAAAATCGTGATGTTTTGGGTTCGGCATGCTCCTTGTCGTAGGAAAAAATCATATAGCATCATGGGGCTGAGACAAGAGGAACTCGTCGAGGACAACGGAGTCGAAACAAGGAGGGGACCGTCGAAGTCACGAGCACATCACCGAGATGCGACCAAGCGGACTACAGATTCCACCGAAAAGTTGACGAAAACGTAAGAATCCGTGACGATAATCTAAAAAGACCTCGAGGACCACCGTCAGGATTGCAAAATTGAGAAAAGTTAGCATTATTTGGAAACCATGCCCGACACTGCAGAGGAAAATGCAAACATATGAAGAAACTACTTTACCATTTTGGGAAGAGTCTCAAATGCCAGGAGGACCATTTTTAATGTCCAGAAGTTGCGTGTTTGGGGAGGAAACAGACAGTAAGGCCCTAATTTCCTCCAAACTTAAATGTTTACATAGTTGTCTTTGAAAATCGGTAACGTAGACGACAACTTAATTTCGAATGGAAGATTATTTGAGATGAAAGCATATTTAGAGACAAAAAACCAGAACGGTTAGATGTGAAACAGACGGGTGGTGATATTATCATGGAGGAGTTACGGGTGGCGCAAGGCCGTTCTACCGGAGTAAAGGCGTTAATTTGTGGAGGAGTAGGGCTATAATTAACACGAAACAGGATGCATATACCGGCTTGGAGTCTCCTTACCCGCATAAATTTAATGTTCGATAACTTACATCTATCTGCTTAAGAAATACTAGATCCAGCAAGAGAAAACAGTTTTCGAGTGAAAACTTTCTGAACCTTTTCTATCTTACTGCGGTCAGACACATTTATAAGGCCCAAAAGGGGACAATAGTGTTCTAGGAAGGGGAGAAAAAACATGCGGCACAGTTTTATGTTTACTTTCAGAAGGAAGAAATGATGTGATATAAAACCACATATCTGGGCGACCTTTGCAGAAATTCGATTCGCTTGAGACGATAATGCCAGCTTATTTGTATAATCTAGAACTAAACTCCTTATCGAAAATCTTTCTGAGAGTGAACTATTTTGGAAGATGAGGGCTCCAGGAAACCTGGCGGGACCAAAACACATGAAACTACGTTTCGATGGAGAAATCGCAATCTGCCAGGTAGCGCACTAACGTGAAAGCGCTACACGATTCTGCGTTGATTTTATCAAAGCAACTATTGACTATGTTCTTGGAAAATGAGTAAATGAACTTAAGCTCATCAGCAAAAATGCAATTTGCTGAATTTTTGAGTACTGTTGAAATTTCATTGATGTACAGAATGGAAAGGAGGGGACTTAAAACCATGCCCTGAAAAATGCCGCTCGTGATCGGTTGAGGCGTCGAGAAGCTATTACCTACTTATACCTTCTGGCTGCGGTTAGATAACTAGAAACCAATGAACCCGAGGAGAGGGGGCCGGATACCGAGGGCTACTAGTTTCTCTAGAAGACGCCTGTGTGGCACCTTGTCAATCCTACTGATATCTGCTCATCACGAAGTGAAGTGAAAGGTTTCGCGTGATCTTCCAGGCAGAAAACCATGTTTTGAGGCGCATATTAACTTATTTTCTAGGCAAGAGTCAATGTTTGATTAAAAATAATTTTCTGAAAAAGTTTTGCTAGATCCGGTATTTTTTGTACGTGCCGATAATTTTTTACTTCCGAACGAGATCCTAACTTGAAAAGAGGAAGAATAATAAATGTCTGCCACGAGTCAGGAAAGGAATCGTTTAAAAGATAGATTGCGAATAGATGGCTTAGTAATCGGTGGAAGCTCTACGATCTTTTGATAACTGAGTTTGGAATACCGTCAGATCCCGATGGAATACCGTCATTTCCCGATCAACACTGGACGATTATAACAAGCACAATAGCAGCACTTCTTTGGAGGGAAGGTCTGGTGATATTACATTCAAATCAAAGAATTGCGCTTGCTCTCTTTACGCATGCAGCCCACGATCAGCAAAACGCGCCAAAATTGTAATTACCACAAAGAGTGTGGGTTGGGTGCAGATACATACTGAGCAAAGTCAAAATACAGATAGTCGTAGAGGAAATCTCCTGAAGTGGATTTGAAGTTTCGTAATTGGCCGCTTTCAAACTGTCCATGTCTATGGTCAGCAGTCGGCTGATGTTGTGGTTGCGAGCAGTGTTCCCCAAGGCACTGTTATTGGCCCTACACTGTTCATTGTATTGAAGTACGGGCATCCCAAGATATTAAATTGAGAAGAGAGAGGCTTCTTCGGGAATCTTTGATCTGTGAATTTTCGAGGCTGGTTCCCCAGCTCGTCGTCGGA